ACTATTGTTTATGTTGTTTACAATGTTAATCTATCTTGGTGTGAGATTAGGCTTAACTGGAAGGTGGCCCTTTAACTTTGCAGTTACCATTGTAAGCCTCTTATTCTTCTTGGGAGGTTTGACAAATATGTAAACATATGGTGAGAAAGTCGCATACAATGACAATGCCTGATGTATAAACACTGACAATCATATTGTCACCAATGCTGTCACAGACATTGGTATCGGCAGGGATCTGAGTGACATCACTGTAGATAATACCACCCTTACACCATAGTATTCTGCACTAATAAACAGGAGTGAAAAATCTGCTGTTGAGTTTACAAACATGACTGGAAGAACAAATATCTGTGGCTTCGCTATCAAGATAGTTTTGTTCACTACATAGACACATTTTTATTTCCACTACACGTCAACTCAAGGACGCATTTCAATTCAACCATGTGTCACAAAAATTGCTACATAATTGTTCATAGTTTTTATCTCCATGGCCACCAAAAATAAATTGGGAAACATTTTTTAGGTTATGTGCATTTTATGACTTATCGTAACTAGGAAAAGAGCTAGCCGGATCATCAACTGATCTGTATTGTCCTAAAACTACAAATGCAACACTACAATGATGAACATTTTATTTAATTAAGGCTACACCAATTTAATTTTATGGATGACATCCGCGCGCGGTTAGTTTTCGCCTGTTCTCAAAAAAAAAAAAAAAAAAATCTCCTACGACGAGTCTCCACAGATCGGTTTTCTTTTGGAACTTGCCGACTCATATTGTCGCAAAGCGCCGACTTGTCGTAAAACTCGTTTTGGACTACCTCAAAACTTCGCTGGTTTCCGGCGTCCTTTGCGAATGGTAGGTAGGAGGCTGGTAACTAGTAATCGCCATATTGTTCCATTTGGGCCGGTTTTCCGGCCGGAAGGCACGTGACTGAGTGACGTAATTTGAAAACATTCCAAGTTCCGTTCTGCGTAAACATGTCTATAATACTACAATAAAGCCATGCTCAAACATACTGCCTGCTTAGATTTACACATTTGAGATGTTTCTGACATTCCTCGCTGTTTCTGTGAAAATTTATCACAAAAGAAACAATTTTTTATTCACCCAACTTTTGAAAGTAAAAGGAAACCCCTGAACGGCCATGAGCGTAAGCGCTGCCATCAGGTAACCAAGGGAAATAGACAAGCC